ACTAACAAGGCAAAGATTTCTGCTTTTGCCACTTCTATTCAACATATAACTGGATGTTACAGTCAGAGTAATTAGACAAGACAAAGAAATAGGATTCTAAATTAAAAAGGAAGAACTAAAATTACCTGTTTGAAGATGATATGATCTTACATGTAGAAAATTCTAATGATTCCACAAAAAACTTTTAGAACTAATAAATGAATTCAGCACAGTAACAGGATGCAAAGTCAGTTGCATTTCTATATACTTACAACGCACAAAAATCAGTTGCATTTCTATATACTTACAATGACTAATCTGAAAATAAAAATTATGAAAATAATTCATCAGTGTGAAAAGAATAAAATATACAGAAATTAAATTAACGAAGGAGATGAAAGATTTGTACAATGAAAACTAAAAAACACTGTCGAAGAAAATTAAAGATGACATCAATAATTGGAAACACATCCAATATTCATGGATTAGAAGATTTAATATTAAAATTTGGGTACTGTCAACACTACCCAAAGTGATCTACACAATCCCTACTATAATCTCAAAGGTGTGTTTTGGAGAAAGACACCTTTCTCCATGAGAAGAACCCATCCTACAATCCATATAAAATCTCAAGGGACCTCAAATAGTGAAAACAACCTTAAAAAAGAGGAATGGGGCTGGATGTGGTGGCTCATGCCTGTAATCCAGCACTCTGGGAGGCCGAGGTGGGCGGATCACCTGAGGTCAGGAGTTCGAGACCAGCCTAGCTAACATGGTGAAACCCCGTCTCTACTAAAAATATAAAAAATTAGCCAGGCATGGTGGTAGGCGCCTTTAGTCTCAGCTACTTGGGAGGCTGAGAAAGGAGAATCACTTGAACCCAGGAGGTGGAGGTTGAAGTGAGCCAAGATCATGCAACTGTACTCCAGCCTGGGCAACAGACCAAGACTTCATCTCAAAACAAAACAAAAAAAAAAGGAATGAAGGTGGAGGACCCAAAATCCCTAATTTAAACTTACTGCAAAGCTACGATAATCAAAATACTACAGTTCTGGCATAAAGACAGATGTGTATATAAAAAAAAATTTTTTTACGACAGATGTATAGAACAATGGAATAGGATAAAGAGATAAAAACTAACCCTTGCCTACATAGTCAAATGATTTTTGACAAGGGTGTCAAAATCATTCACAATGGGGAAAGGGCAGTCTTATTAAGAAATTATGCTTGGAAAGCTAGATTTCCACATGCAAAAAAATAAAGTTGGACCATCACCTAACACCATACAAAAATTAACTCGAAATGGATCAAAGACTGAAATGTAAATGTAAAACAACATAACACTTAGAAGAAAATACAGGTCAAAAGTTTTATGACAATATATTTAGCAATGATTTCTGGGCTATGACTCCAAAGGCACAGCCAACAAAACAAAAAAGTTGGCTGGGTGCGGTGGCTCACGCCTATAATCCCTGCACTTTGGGAGCCTCAGGTGGGTGGATCACCTGAGGTCAGGATTTCAAGACTAGCCTGGCCAACATGATAAAACCCCATCTCTACTAAAAATACAAAAATTAGCTGGGTGTGGTGGCGCATGCCTGTAATCCCAGCTACTCAAGAGGCTGAGGCAGAAGAATTGCTTGAACCCAGGAAGCGGAGGTTGCAGTGAGCCAAGATCACGCCACTGCACTCCAGTCTGGGCAACAAGAGCAAAATTCCATCTCAAAAAAAAAAAAACTGACAAATTGGGCGGCATGAAAATTTTAAAATATTAACATGACACCGAAGGAAGAAAATAGAAAAAGAAAAAAAAAGATACTATCAACAGCATAAAAAGGCAACCCAGAGAATGGGAGAAAATATTTGCAAATAATATATCTGATAACAAATTAATATATTGAATACATAAAGGATTTCTAAATCTCCACAACAACAACATCCTATTTGAAAATGGGCCCCATAAAGGGGGCCAATTAATTAAATAAACATTTCTGCAAAGAAGACACAGGAATAGCTAATAAGCATAAGAAAAGAAGCTCTACATCACTAATCCTTAGGGAAATAAAAGTCAAAACCACATTTTTACATCCTTTAGGATGGCTATGATTAAAAAACAGAACAAGGCCGGGCGCAGTGGCTCAAGCCTGTAATCCCAGCACTTTGGGAGGCCGAGGCGGGTGGATCATGAGGTCAGGAGATCGAGACCATCCTGGCTAACATGGTGAAACCCCGTCTCTACTAAAAATACGAAAAACTAGCCGGGTGTGGTGGCGGGCGCCTGTAGTCCCAGCTACTCAGAGGCTGAGGCAGGAGAATGGCAGAAAGACATAAACCCGGGAGGCGGAGCTTGCAGTGAGCCGAGATCGCGCCACTGCACTCCAGTCTGGGTGACACAGCGAGACTCCATCTCAAAAAAAACAAACTAAGGCCAAGCATGGTGACTCATGCCTCTGGGAGGCTGAGGCAGGAGGATCACCTGAGGTAAGGAGTTCAAGACCAGCCTGGCCAAAATGGTGAAACATTGTCTCTACTAAAAATACAAAAATTAGCCAAGTGTGGTGCACCTGTAATTCCAGCTACTCGGGAGGTTGAGGCGGGAGAATCACTTGAACCCAGGAGGTGGAGGCTGCAGTGAGCTGAGATGACGCCACTGCACTCTAGCCTGGGTGATAAGAGCGAAACTCTGTCTCAAAAACAAAACGAAACAACCCAAAATATTTAGTGTTGATGAGGATGTGGAGAAATTGGAACCCTTGTGTAATGTTGGAAAGTAAAATGGTATGGCTGCTGCGGACAGCAGTATGACAATTCCTCAAACATAGTATTACCATATGATCTAGTAATTCCACTCTGGATATATGCCCCCCAAAATTAAAAGCAGAGTCTCAAAGAGATTTATATATCCACGTTCATAGCAGCATTAATCATAAAATGATAGCTAAAATAAAGAAGCAACCCAGTGTCCATTGATGGATAAATGGATTAGCAAAATGTGGTATAGCCAGTCATTCTTAAAAAGGAAGGAAATTCTGGGCCAGGCGCAGTGGCTCATGCCTGTAATCCCAGCACTTTGGGAGGTCAAGGAGGGAGAATCACCTGAGGTCGGGAGTTCAAGACCAGCCTGACCAACATGGAGAAACCCCATCTCTACTAAAGATACAAAATTAGCCGGGTTTGGTGGCACATGCCAGCTACTTGGGAGGCTGAGGCGGGAGAATTGCTTGAACCCGGGAGGTGGAGGTTGCAGTGAGCCAAGATAGCGCCATTGTACTCCAGCCTGGGCAACAAGAGCAAACCTCTGTCTCAAAAAAAAAAAAAAAATTGTGCAATGGCACAATCTCGGCTCACTGCAACCTCTGCCTCCCGAGTTTAAGCGATTCTTCTGCTTCAGCCTCCCCAGTAGCTGGGATTACAGGCATGCGCCACCACGCCCGGCTAATTTTGTATCTTTAGTAGAGACGGGGTTTCTACATGTTGGTCAGGCTAGTCTCGAACTCCCAACCTCAGGTGATTCTCCCTCCTCAGCCTCCCAAAGAGCTGGGATTACAGGCATGAGCCACCGGGCCTGCCTGGAAATTCTGACACAAATTCTACCACAGATACCACAGAAATAAACCCTGAAGATATTATGCTAAGTGAAATAAGCCAGTCACAAAAAGACAAATACTTGTCATTTGTAGCTTCTCAGAAATTATTTTCTAAAGAGAACAAAAGAAAACAAAAAGACAAATCATGCATGATTCCACTCACATGAACTAGTTATAGTAGTCAAAATCATAGAGACAGATGGTAGAATGGTGGTTGCTGGGGATGGGAAGCGGGGGTATTGAGAAGTTATTGTTTAATGAGTATAAAGTTTCAATCTTAAAAGATGAAAAAAATCTGGATATGGATGGTGGTGACGGTTGCAAAACAATATAGAAAATTAAACAATATTTAATACCACTTAAATGTACATTTAAAAATAGCTAAGGCCAGGCGCGGTGGCTCACGCCTGTAATTCCAGCACTTTGGGAGGCCGAGGCGGGAGGATCATGAGGTCAGGAGATCGAGACCATTCTGACTAACACAGTGAAACCCGCCTCTACTAAAAAGACAAAAAAATACAAAAAATTAGCCGGGCGTGATGGCCTGTAGTCCCAGCTACTGGGGAGGCTGAGGCAAGAGAATGGCGTGAACCCAGGAGGCGGAGCTTGCAGTGAGCCCAGATCGCGCCCCTGCACTCCAGCCTGGGCGACAGGGCGAGACTCCGTCTCAAAAAAAAAAAAAAAAAAAAAGCTAAAATGGCAGATTTTACATGTATTTTACAATTTAAAAAACAGAAAAAAATGGCTGGGCACGGTGGCTCAAGCCTGTAATCCCAGAACTTTGGGAGGCCGAGATGGGCGGATCACGAGGTCAGGAGATGGAGATGATCCTGGCTAACACGGTGAAACCCCATCTCTACTAAAAAATACAAAAAACCAGCCGGGCGAGGTGGCAGGTGCCTGTAGTCCGAGCTACTCGGGAGGCTGAGGCAGGAGAATGGCGTAAATCCGGGAGGCGGAGCTTGCAGGGAGCTGAGATCCGGCCACTGCATTCCAGCCTGGGCGACAGAGCGAGACTCCGTCTCAAAAAAAAACAACAAAACACAAAAAACAAACAAAAAAAAAAAAACAGAAAAAAATTAAACAAAATGAAACAAAAATACTTCCTGTTTTGACTAATCCACCAACTTGAAAGACATTTGTTTCATTTTACTTTCAAAATTTAGGGATTGATTTTCCATTTTGATTTAACTTTGTTTTAGTAATAGATAAAACATTTATAGGGTTCCATAGTCAAAACTATTAAAACAGGTATATTCAGAAAATTATAGCTCTTCCATCGTATTCTGTCATCCCCCTATAGGTAGCTTGATTTGGTCTATGCTTCTTTTCTATTTTAATAGAAGCTAACACATATTCACATAATCCCCTCTTCTTAAAAGGTAGCACAATCTACACGTTAAAGAAAAATGCATTTTAAAAAGATATACATACTTCAATATATAGGCTTTTTGGTGGTTTCACATCCTGTGTAATGTCCAAACCTTCGTCTCCTCCCAGTGACCTCATATAAGTAGCAAGAGATCTTTTATAATTATTAAACCATTCCATCTGCAAACATAGAGATGATCATTTGACAAAATTCTAAGAAAACTTACACACATTGCATACTCATCCATTCGAAAACAGTACACATCCCAACACAAATCACTATTGTAACCATTCATTCATTTATGCTAAAATATTATTAATTGCCTCCTATGATATAGGCATTGGTTTGGGTACTTAGGATGAATCATTCAATAAAGTGAACAAAATTCTCTGTTCTCAGAGAGATTACATTTCAGCATACTTAATAATAAGCCTTAGGAATCTTTGACCAGAAACAGAACCAAGAAAAAGATGCCATTTCAGAATTATATCTTCAATCTCTGCATTGATGCTATTTCTGAAAACTATAAAACATTGTTAAGAACACCCAAATGTCCACCAACTGATGAATGGATATGTGCCTATATGATGGAACGTTATTCAACCATAAGTAGCAATGAAGTTCTGAAACATATTGCCATTACCACATGAAAGACAAAAGGCCACATATTGCATGATTATACTCATATGAAAAACCTGTAATAGGTAAATCTACAGAGACAGAAAGTAGATTCGGGATTTCCAGGAGCTGGGAGGAGGGAAGAAAATATAGAGTAACTATAAAGGGGACAGGGCTTCTTTGTAGGGTGATGAAAATATTCTCAAATAAGATGGTGGTACTGGATACACAACAACTCTGAATATACTAAAAACCACTGCATTGTACAATTTAAGATGGTAAACTTCACAGTGTATGAATCATATATCAGTAAATCTATTTTTAGAAATGTTGAAAAAAAAAGAAAGATCTAAATATATACCACATTCACAGACTGGATGATTCAATATTGTAATAATGTCAACAATCTATAGATTCAATTCAATCTCAATCAAAATCTTAACTTTCTTTAAAATGGGACCTGACAAACTGAGTCTAAATTTTACACGGAAGTGCAAAGGGCTAAAAATAGTTGAAATGCTCTCAAAAAAGAACAAGATGGGAACTTGCTCCAACTATACTATATAGTTACAGTAATTACAACAGTGGAATTGGTATAAGAACAGATAGACTAGCATTAACAGAAGAAAAAGTCCTCCCATTCAAAATCCACAGGAATACTGACACTCACTGTATGATGGTGATACCATGCACACAGTGATGGGAGAGGCACATCTATTCAATACATGGTGGTAGGTCATCTCAGTATCTATATTCAAAATGAAGCATACTTTCGATAGTATACACAAAACTTCATCCCAGTACTGTAGATCTCTTTGTAAAAAGTAAAATATAGCTCCTAAAAGATTACACAGAAAAATATCTTGGGGGGCTGAGGCAGGAGAATGGCGTGAACCTGGGAGGCGGAGCTTGCAGTGAGCTGAGATTGTGGCCACTGCACTCCAGCCTGGGCGACAGAGCGA